ACTGCTGCCTCCCGCTCTGCTGCCTGGAGCTGCCCACCTCAATGCTGCAGCTCCCATAGTAGAGCTACAGAGGAAAAATGGGAGAAGGGGAAAAGCCAGGTGGGCAGCAGAAGAGACCAAGTCCTCCATGGTTTAAAAGCATAGTCCACTCTGCTTTTGTGACCAAGGCAAGAGTGGTAAATTCCCAGTTTCTGGCCCTGGCTTTTTCCTGCCAAAGCTCTGCCCCCCTTGCATGATGTAGGTGGTATCTAATAAACAATGCTAAAAACTCCACCCCATTTTCTCTTTGACTGGGACACTATGAAAATTTTTAAATGTTGTCACATTATACAGAGTACACCAGAAATTATGTTTTGGAGACAAATGAAAATGCTTAAATCTAAAAAAAGTGTAAAAGTTTGAAATAGAGTTGAAATTATTTTGTTAAAATGAGATGATAAGGGTAAACTTCATAATATTTCTTCATCTCTCTGTTTTTGATATTTTCTTCTGCCAAGGACTTTAAAACTTAGGAAATTTTTTGCAGTTCTAAAAAATGGGAAGTGTCATACCTTCATCTCCATGTGAAATATAATCCTGTGCCTATTTATAATTATTTATATTCTCTGCACAGGGGTAGCTGGTGTGTGCTTCTTTGGCTCTTTTAGTATCTTACTGAGTTCAGAATTATATCTGTACCTATCTGTCTTCCTTTCCAAATCCATTTAGGAGCAAATTCATTACAGTTCAGGAGAAACAGGGAATCTTACAGTATGTCTTCCAGTTCACCAAATCAGTAGCATTTTGTTTACTACTCAGCCCTCTGGGAGAAGAGCACTTTGCCCCTAGATGTTCAGAAGATTTGCTTCTTAAAAAAAAAATAAATTGTTTACTGGGTAAGAAGCATCTCTTAGGTTTTTGCCCAGTAGCTGGAATGACTTCCCTACTCTTGTTCAGCTACATAGAAGTTTCATTCAGTTTAGTTTCTGAGCTTAGTCACATGGATCAGTTTGGTGACCATATAATGTGAATGAACATAGTATAGTATGTTTAGTTGTACTATAAATACAGTACAACTAAAGTGTATGTATAGATCTGTTGAAAATGTTTATCTACAAAGACTACTTCTAAAGATATTAGGACTTCTCTATATTCACTATCCATTTTTTTTCCTTTGGCCAGGCAATATTTCCTTATTTCTTTTTAAAGAAATTGTGCCCTCTGTGTAAAAAAAAAAGGAGAGTATAAGGATTTCTCAAGGATATATGAGTGAAACTGTCAGCAGTCTGTAGCAGTAGTAAAGTAGCTAGCTCTGGTGTTTCTGTCTTCAGACTGCTTTTCTGTGAGAGTGCCTCTAGGACCTGGGAGTTAAAAGTATAAAAAACAATTTAACAAGAACATAAACAATGAGAAGTTTTATTGTGCTGTAGTTACATGGTTTAACTTCCTAGTGGTCCAAGTAATTGGAAGGTCTAAGTAAATTCCAATTAAGGTAAGAGAAGGCAAAAAAGCTTTTAGTAATGCTGGTGTTACTTTGCTGTGAAAGCCACTGGCATTTCGTGAATATGAATTTAATTACACTTAAAAGATTTGGGCTTGTTTTAATTCCTTGTCAGTCATGAGCTAAAGCTGTAGATCTCACAATTCTAAATGATCACTATTATTATCAGAAAACCAATGGTGTTTAGAAGACATTGCATTGCAATTACCACACATTATTCCAAGGGCTTAATTCTGTCTTCTCAGCCCAAGTTCTCAGAGGGAGTAGATCTGAACAAGGATTACAAAGCTTCATGCTGTCCCCCTTGGAATGGAAGCATGCAGATGCCTCCAATATGTTCCATGAATGGCTAGTTCTGCTAAACTGTAGAACCTCCAGGAGTACAGTTAAGTAAATTTAGATAATCTCCTAAATTTGCTGGTTTGGATGCCCTCAAGAGTGGTGAGCTAGAGTTAATCTTCAGTAAGTAACTAAATAAATAAACACCTTAAACTAGTGTAAGACAAAACACTGAGGGCTGGATGATATTGAGACCTTTGTAGCACAAAACAGGATGGATGCTTATTTTTGTTGCAATATGGCCTTTCTGTTTAAACAGTTCTGTGAAGTTGTAAAATCCAGTTGTCTGTCTGAGCTGAGTCTTTTCAGTAACGTGTGCCTTCATAGACACACAGACAAAGTAGTGGGTTTCTAATGCACTCTGAAGGCAGCAAAGTCTATAAAAGTTCAGTTACCTTTATAGGTTACTGGTGGGGTGAGTACACACTTTACAGGTCTCTGAAGACTTTCGAAGCAAGACTAGCATCACTTCAATCTTAGCTAGCACTAGCACTTCAGTCTTGGTTGAGACTAATGATAAGTCCAGGAAACATCCAGAAAGTAACTGATTACATCCCTCTGTCTCAGGGAAGCATGCCATCACTTTCACTTGCACTAAGCTTGGCACCAAATTTCAGTGGTTGTTATAAATAATAGAAATGTAGAAAGAGTTCAACAGTAACATGATGCTAGTGGACTGTGCTAAAGGCTTTTAAAATCAGAATAAACTTTAGTTGCTGTAGTCAAAAGTAATGGAGTAGAACAGAGTAGAAGAGAATAGAATAGGATAGAATAGAATTGGAAGGGATCTACAGTGCTCATCTAGTTGACAAATTCAGGGTTGACCAACAGTTCCAGCCCATTATTAAGGACATTTTCCAAATGCCTCATAAATACTGAGAGGCTTGGGGCATTCACAGCCTTCCCAAAAAGCCTGTTTGACTCTCCTCTTGGTAAAGAAAGTTCAGTGTGAACCTCCTTTGATGCCATTCTGAACCATTCTGACACATCCCTGAATCCTTGTGGGAAGAGATCAGCAACTTCATCTCCTTGTCCCCTCCTCAGGAAGCTGTATAGAGCAATGGAGTTACACCTCAGCCTACTATTCGCCAGGCCAAAGTGCTCAGCCCCACTTAACAAGCTATGCCTTCCAGGCTATTCCCCAGCTTTGTTGGCCTCCTCTGGACGCATTCAAGGACCTTTACGTCCTTCTTAAATTGTGGGGTCCAGACCTGCAGAGAGTACTCTACATGAGGCTTACCAACGCTGAGTATGATGAGATAACCACCTCCTTTGTCTGGCTGGTTATGCAGTATTTGAGGTACTCCAGGTACTGCAGTTTGGCCTCGTGGTTGCGCACATACATGGCTGACTCACACTTAGCTTCATATCAGCCAGCATCCATAGGTTGCTGTCTGCAGGGCTGTGCTCCAGCCACTTCACTCCCATTTTACACTTGTCCTGGTGTTACTTAATCCCCAGTGCAGAATCCAGCATTTCAGCTTTAAATTTCGTCCCATTAATCATAGCTCTGATCTATCCAGATGCATCTGCAAGGCCTTTAGTCTCTCAAGAGGATCAACAGCAGCTCCCAGTTTGGTATCATCAGCAAACATGCTAATGGAGCATTTAAATCCTATATCCAGATTGTTGTTAAATATATTGAACAGAGCTGGTCCTAGGACTGAGCCCTGAGGAGCAGGACTGTTGACTGGCCACCAGCCAGATGTAACCCAGTTCATTACAACTGAGCTCACTTGTGTTGTGGAGGTGTGCCAGTTCAGCTGGAATTGCCTTTCAGAGAGGAGGCAGTATGAAAATTACTCTACTACTGATATAGTCATTAGTCTTAGACAAACCAATTCCTATTTAATTTATGATAAACTAAATTGATTTAACGGAATGTTTTGGTATTTTTGTTACACTAGACATAAGTTACTCCTCCAAAATAAAGATATTGATGGACCACCCACACAGACTGGTGTTAATATCCTAGATCCAGTTTTCTCTGTTAAGTGAATTAATTTAAATTGTTGCTTTTTTCTATCAATGTCAGTTTTTTCTTTGTAGTCTACTTTCAAATTTTCCCAAGATTTTTGTTTTCTAATATTCTAAATATTCTTGGAATTTGTGAGCGACTTACTTCCAGTTCTCTTCAAGTCTTTACTGCTGAGCTCTCAAGTTTCCTCCATGTGTATTCTTACAGATGCAAATTAAGAAATCTGAGGGGTTTTTTAAGGTGAAAGTTTTCAAGTGTTGCTCCATCCTCATTGGTGATATCATTTAGCTCTATTTGGAAAGCCAAGCTTGTTTCATGAAGTCACTGAGTTTTAACTTGAAATTACCGTAGTCTCAATTGTCCCTTTTTTGCTCATCATTGAGGAACTTGAAAATAAATTAGGAAATATCTTACAAGATTTGCAGTGTGCTAGTAGGTAAAATTCCAAATGAGCTGGAGGGACATTCTCCCAAAGACAAGGAGCTTGAATATTTGTAGGTGAGTGAAACTGAAGTTTCAAGTTAAAAATGAAAAATGAAAGCAGACATATTGATGACTGTGGAAAGGAAGATTTATTTTTCAAATTGTGAATGCCATGTCACTTCAGTATTTGTATTTCTATTGCGTACTGAAGGGATGAGTAAGAAGCATTTTTATTGCACCATTTGAAATTTGCATATTATCCTATGAAGTTACTATTTCCATCTTTCTTTATTGTACTTTTTGCTCTCATTTGATAGAACATGAAAACTATTCCTGTTGTGTAGTCCAATGCTGTGAATGTCCTTTTTATAGTTTAATTATGTAAGTAACCAAGTCTAGTGTGTTTTACAGTACATTTCGTTAAGCAAACTAAATGGAATGCCATTTAATGATTTTTATACTTGCTGTTTGAGGACAAGTTTGGATATAGATTGATATAGAATTACCTGAAGTACTGCATATAAATTAAACATTGAAAAGGTAGATATAGCCAGACTAAGCAGCTCAGTTATAATCTTTGGTTGTGCAGTTACTGCCTCGAGGATACTTCATTTACTTCATATCATATGTCCTTCTTTTGAAAGATGATCAGTGGGTTCAAGTAACATTTCAGCTCAGAGGAAATTGCATAATTTATAGACTTTCCAAAATGAAAAACAGGAAACCAGTTTCATTAAATTAAGTCTTCCATTCCTTTTTTTCTTTTCTGCTCTTACAGATTGGAACATTGAAGGACTACTACCACTTCTACCATAGTAAAACAATTAAAAGGTCAGTTCTCTCAAGTAGAGGTACCCACAGCTTCATTTCAATGGAACCAAAGGTAAGAAAATCCATGCATGTGTCTGAGGAAAAAGCCTTTGCATTTTTTATATGAAATACTGTACCAGAGGACATTCACCTGAATGGCATATAGCATTACAAGAATTACCCTATCTGTTTTCTAAGGTTCTACTTCTCATTAAAACAAAGTGAAGAAGATACCATGCTATTAAGTATATGCTATTCTTGGAACAGAAAGTGCACGATTGTTCCTAGATGAGTACTTGAATTTTGATAATGCACTAATTACTGTGCTTCTCTGCAAAACCACACACATAAGATCTATGTCTGCAGATTTCTTCTGTGAAGCAACCAGCTTTAAAAATAAAAATGGGCAATGTGGGATAGTACACTGTTCAGAGGAAAGTTTATCTTGCTTTTTTTCTTGTCTTCTTCTGGACTTGGTCTACAAGGGATTAAAAGGAGTACTCTTTTCTGTGGTCCTTTTGGTAGTTTAACTGATCTTAATTTTAAGATCTGCATGAAAAATGGTGCCTTTTTTTGTAGCATGCACTATAATAGGTAGCTGTCAACGCAATTTAATTACTGGTTTATAGTTAAATATAATATCTTCATGTATCCTACCCACAACACACTTTTGTTTGAATTCTTTAGTTTCAGTGATTAGTAGCTTATTCACTGACTGCAGAATTGTAGTGCCTCTGGTTTTCTTTTAGGAAAAAAGTTTGTTGAGGATCCCATTAGCTTTTTTATGCTGTTCATGCAATGAAGTCTTGCCAACAAACCCCCAGGCCCCTGGTGTGGTAATAACAGAGTCAAGCTTTTTTAAATTATTGGATGATGAATGTTCTCAGTGAAGGGTTTGTCAGGTTTTACTCAACAAATCATTTATGAGAAGTAAAAGTTACTGGTGAAAGAGTTTGAGCACTGTACAAATTGAGCATCATAGAAGAATACTTCTGCCATCTGGAAAACTGTGTTTAGGTCTGAAGTTCCTCTTGAGGATGGGACAATACTAGGAATGTACACAAAAAAACTGTGCTCAATGCTCTGTTGATAGGCCTGAACTGCTTAACCCTTTGAGAGCACCAGCGGCTCTGCTGAGCAGTGTATACTGAGGGTTAGCATAAGCCCTCAGTATACTGTATACCCTTTTATACTACCCTGAGGGTAAGTATAGGTAAAAATGCAAAAGGAAGAGTAAGTGTTCACATCTGCATCAGTCCATGCTCTTTCCATATGCGCAAAGGTGGAGCAATTAACACACCAATGCAGGAGTTGCATGCATGTACCACTGTAAACGGTGATGTTACACCCAGCTTCCAGATACTCTATCTGCACCTCTGGCAGGCAGTCTAGACTACTTTGGCTAGAATAGTGAGAGACTCTGAGGCAGAACACAGCAGAAAATCAAAATGATCGTTTGTTTATTATGCTGTTTAGGTCTTGTCTTCAATCTGTGCTGCTTTTGGTATAGACTTTCTAAATTTCCGAACCATTATCTATCACTTCAATATTGAGAAGTTCTAGTGAGGGTTGTACAAGGTACCCAACCCTGTTTATGATTCTGTACCCAAAGAGAAGCTGATGTTCTAGTAACTAGATCTGGCAAGAAGTGTTTTTATGATTCACTTTGTGACTGCTTCACTGAACCGAGGTTTGGGAACTCTTATGTGGCCGTGGACATGTCAGTAAATGGACTTGTATTTGTAGCATAAAGGCAACTTTGTCCTCAGTGTGTATAACATTTAATGATTATTAAAGCAGACTGGCAAGTTAACTACTCTATATAAGCTAGTTCTTTTAAAACAAAAGGTGTAATATTATATATCAGGCACATTGCATTGCTGTGAGAATTTGCAAGTACTGCACACTACTGTATTTATGAGTGGAATGGTATCTAATGCAAATATTTGCTGCAGATTAGTCAGCGTGACTATTTGGGAACAAAGAAACACTGAGGTTTGTTTACTTTACAAATAATTTAATGGTAATTAACTTAATGCTGAAAAAGCTCTCCCTTTTACATGTACGTGGAATTAGCCTGTTCTGTGTTGCATCAAACATGGATCATTAATTTGTTCCTTTACAAAATTTTTAAGGATGGGATTCTGATTGAGTAGACATTTGTTATGTAAATAGCCTGCATATAATGGAAGAAATGATGAATTTTGGTATTTCTGAATTATTTTAATGGATAGTGTTTGATGTCATTGTGTGAATGCACAATGAAAGATGTAGAACTAATAGAAAATCTTGTTTTTGTGGATTTAAATTAATGAATTGTTTTAAAAATCTTTCGTTTGATTTTCTTCTTCTGGAAAAGCCTCTTGATACTGTTATAAACAATATGAATAAATGCAACAGGGAACATAATAACTGGGATGTGGCACATAGTGCTGTGGCCTAGTTAACAAGATGGGGGTTGATCAAAGGTTGGACTTGGTGATCTTTGAGGTGTTTATCAGCCTTTTGTGATTCTGTGATAAACTGAAGACGTGGGTTGCACATTTTGACACTTTCCCCAGCGTTAGCCTGTATTAACCTCATATCATCTGTATTGAGATGAAAAGGTAAAGGATATGCAGTATAACACAGTTTTGTTAATTGTCATCCACATCCTTACCTTGCAGTGCTGTGTGTTGTCATTTAGCGAAGAAAAAGATTAAACAATTTTAGGAAAAGATGAATGAGAAAGGCTTTAATTCCCTTAACATAGATTGTAATGGAGAAAATTTGAAATGTGGCTTTTTTCTCATCATCTTTCTCAGCCAGTGAATAGTTATGTGGTGTTCTGCATGTCCTAATGGGAAAACACTGAAGTGGAAGAAGTCTGTGGATTTAAAGGAGACACCAAAGCCAACTGAATGAAATCTATCAACAGAGGTTTCTGGTCTCCCCAGCCAGATGTGCTGTTTGTGGTTGGCCTTTGGCAGGCGTCAATGAGAGCACCACACCACGCATCAAAAGCTTTTTTTAGCTTCACAGTTTGATCTGCAGAGTTATTTTGGTGATACTACAATGAATGAAACAATAGGAGTAGGAGCAAAAGATAAGTGGGAAGATGCACAGAATAAGTACATAGTTGAAAGGTATCAGGAAGCTCTAATTCAGCTATTAAATAGTTGAGTGTATTGATGGTAGACAATCTACTGAAACCAGACTATTACAGCATTTCTAGGACTGAGAAGGAAGAGCTGAGGCATGCCTCTGGGTTTGCTGCAGTAGTGAAATCAAGAGTCACAAAGTGGGAAATACTTTAAGCAAAGATTGAAACTGCAGTCTGAAGGCCAGACTTTTCATCAATAAAAACAATAAGGGAAATCAGGTGGAGCTTTTCTATTAGTAAAGAGATTGCAATTCCAATGAAATGTGAGAGTTGAAGTGTGTATGCATGACAATAGTACATGCAAATTAAATAGACAGCACAGGTGGAATTTTATTTTATTTATCTTTTTATTTTGAACTGTTACATAAAATGAAGAGTTTTTAGTGAAGAGCTGTGATAATCAAATTTGTGATTCATATGGCAAAAAATATCCCAAAGAATTGGTAGCATAAATAATCCTAGGAGATGACTGTTCTTAAGGCAATAGATGGCAGATAAAAGATTGATAATATACTCAAATAGATATTTGAGTATATTATTGTTTTGTTTTTCTCATGAGGTCCCCAGAGTCTCCCATCACAACAGAGATCTGAAAAAGACATCTGGCCCACAGTAATGCTAAAAATCAGGGAATTAATAATTTGTTTTCCTGTTAACTATGACATCAGCCAGCTTTGGAGCATAGTGCATCTTTATCAATCTCCACTAAGATGGCATCTCATATTTTTCTAATTTTAATGAATTTTGGGTAGGTTTATTTGGGGTTTGAATTCTGTTTGATGGGTCATAAAAACATAAAGACTACACAAGATAGGACGAGAAAGATTTACAGTCTTATTGAAATAAGAAATAAGGCTACCTTTACATAAGGAAGATACTCTGCTTGAGCCCAATTTTGCAGTACTGTCATGCCTCTGTAAGCTGTATGCCAGAATCAGAATACCTGGGAAAACATTACTCACAGACACTAATATTTTATGCAGCCTGATCTAACTCCACACAGAGTGTAGGAGTATGATGGAGGAGAAAGCCTTATCTTTGCCAAATCAAGATAAACAGAACTCATGGTACCAGCATGCAAAATGCTGGCAAGCATAATTTCTTTGATTTCACAAATGATATGGGCTGTTTTCAGAGGATAGGAAAGTAATGCCAGAAGCCTGTCCTTATTATTGGTAGAACGGTTATGTTCATGAGATTGCAAAGGGAAGCAGAGCTGTAGTAGCCATGAGTAACCTGGGGCTTTTGAAGCCTTCACCATGGATTTGAAGCTTGGAGAAATTAGATGAGACTGTTGTTATGGGTAAGGTGGTAGTTAGTTGTTAAACCTTAGTGAACAAAAAGATTTTGTTAGACATACAGGATAACACAACAGTTAAAAAGTGGGACCAGGTAAGTTACTGATGTCTGCATGGTTAGCCATAAAATGTACAAACACATAGGGACCAAGAATCAGTAAGATGCTACATGGTTGCAAAATAATAGGAACCGTCATGCTCTTTTCATGTTCAGAGTTTGACTGGAAGTTTAATTAAGTTCTTAAATAATCCAATATTTACCACTGGGGTCCCTGTAATTAATTACTTGAAAAAGGTTGTACATGAGCAATCCTTACATCTTTAACTTGGTAAAAATCAAGAATAGGTTTGGCTGTTTTCAAAGAGCCTTTTACTGGGTGAGTTAAAGCATGAACTGAATCACAATGAATCAGAGGAAATTGCAGTATCTCTCTATGTCACCTGCTTCTGGAGTATTAATTAGTTTCACGTAAACATGAGCAAATAGTCCTACAACTAGGACTTTTTTTTAGGGCTTTTTGAAATATGAAGTTGCTGTTCACTGATTAGAATTCTAGTAGATCCTGCTAGTTATTCTAACTGTTCATTGTGCTGTAAATTTTGTATTATTTGGTTGTTTGTGTGTTTTCTTTA